CAATAAGTTTATTCTTAGTTTCCTTCAATATTCTTAACCTCTAATGTCTTGGCTTTAGAATGTTTTCTGTATTTATTAATGTCTAAATGATTTGAATAGCAGTAGGGGATGAAAACAAATTATATCTACTTCCTCATACTCTCATATTTCCATTAGGCATCTCTCACCCAAATCCCTCAAACGTCAACAGTGCATGTAATCAATACTTACTTGCTCCATGACAAAAATAGATAAATAATGTTTGTGGGTCCTCAAATAATTGATGAATGATAACAATTACCTTGATAGTAAATCAGTGAAATCTGAATATGACCAAAGCGTCAAGCATCCCACAAATTACCTTGATAGTAAATTACTTTAAACACACATGAAGTTGTTATAAGTCATCATAACGAATGAAACACAACAGTCTGATGCTGCAGAATACCAAAAATGTGACAAATTCAACATATTATTACAGAAAAAATTAAAAAAGAAAAAGAAAAAGTAATGGAAAAGCACATTATAGCTGAAAGTTAATATTACAGCATGAGAGTGCATAATGAGGGTCTGTACAATTGTTTGATAATTACAGAGCCAACAAATAAATGATTTGACTGTCTGTTAGATATCTGCAAGTTCATGTACAAAATACTCAACAAAATATCAATTTACTTATAGTAAACAGATTAGTCATAAGACATCTGGGGAGTGCTTCCTTCGTTGATTCTGCCACCATCAACCATTTTATGTAATTTATTACTTTTGCTTTGATTAAGTCACCCCATGTTTTATACATCCTTGGACCCTGTGGCTAATGCCTCAGATTTGCAGATGGGGCATACGTTCTTCACGAACAGCCACTTCTTTAAGCAATCTGCGTGATACTCGTGTCCACAATCAAGAGTTCCAATTTTCTCTTGGTTCTTATAATCCTCCTAAAAAATTCCAATACAAATGGCAAATGTGCCATATGTTAGAAGTGCGATGCATGATTAAAAAGTACTACAAACTTGAAGAGAGATAGAGATGTGCAATTCAAGCTCTTCAACCCAGCATAACACTTGGTCTAAGCACTCAAAATTACCTGACAAATAATGCAAGAATCAGGTTCCTGGTCGATGGGTGCTGCCTCTTCCAGATTAATATTTATGGCAAATGTAGAATAAGTTCTTGTTTTCAATTTACTTGTAATGGCTTCCTCTGACAACCCAGTGTTGACATTGCCAATCCGCTCTCCTAGAGCAAGCAGCTCCTGTGGTCATTTAGCAAATTTTCCAGTAAGTGGTCAGCAAAAATAAAGTCAAAACCATGCAGTACAAAACAAAAATAATGTACTTCAACTACCTCATAAGACATGTCCTCTATATCCAAGCGCATATCTCTGTGATGATCAATTAAATTCCCTACTTCTTCATAAAATTCTGGGAACTCCAGTACAGCAACTCCCTGCACCCAATCAGCCAAAAAATATCAGCATAATTATAAACAGAAAAATTACCAAAAGTAAAGTCATCTATATACTAATTCATTTATCCTTCTTTCAAAAAAGAAACACATACAATAGATGAACAGAAAACACATTGCAGACATGAAAAAAAATAGGTACTGACATCAGGTGGAAGAACTCTCAGGTGAGGAAGATTGCGGTGTCTCAGAGTTGTCTCAGGTACAACACCACCCTCTCGGCGAGAGTGGTATATCCTAAAGCCAGTAGGTGGAATTGGTCCTAGATGCCTACGCCCCATCTCCAAACCATCCTGTGAAGCATTCATGGTGCTCTGTGAGCCATAACTTGCTGGAAAGCGATATGGGACTGCTGCTACTTGTGGATGAACATTAATGCTGTGGCCTCTTACTCCTTCAATAGGTGGTGCAGGGTGATGGAAGTTATGATTCCGAATGTCAAGAGGAGACGAATGTGAAAAGTTTGTGGAACTTCTATGCCTAGTCTCCATAGGTCCACCAACATTGCTACCTGCAAAAACACAAGTTAGTGATGATTACAAGGTAATCAGTTTCAAGGTAAAACATATTCCTAATTTTTATTTTTTTTTTGAATGATAAAGCATATTCCTAAATGACCTCATTTACATGGAAGCTGCTTTCTATGACAAGATATATTTAAAAAAATTATGTAATATTAAAATTCCTAACAAGGGTTACAATAAATAGAAAGTAACAACCCCAGTATGAAAGAATAGACGGATGGAGAAATTACCATGCATATAAGGAACACCAGGAGCCTGAGTCCAAGCTGAAGCACCTCCATCTGTTATTGTGGGCTGAAAGGGCTGACCCATGTAATTTCCTTGAAAAAAATGGTTAGCACCATGCATCAAAACAGGATCCATTGCAGTTGCTCCTAATCTGTTCCTCACGCTTCTTTGAGATCCAGCTTCTCTGACTGGTGGAGGGCAATTCCCCCTGTACTGGGGAAATGTGAAGGATGCAGCATCAACTGCACCAACCCCATCAGGATGCCTGTTGTTTAATTGAGTAATTGAGGAATTGGAGCTTGATGGAGCATTAAAATGCTGAAAATTTCCTGGGATCCCTTCAGAATTCTTTCTCTTATACGAGCCTCTAACATTATCCATGAAGTGGCAATTCCTTCCATATTCATCTACAGAAACTCCTAGGAGATCATAATTGCTGGAAGATGGCATCTGATCTGTGGGTCCACAATTTACTGGAACACTGGATGAAGGGGTAGTCACGTAGGGAATGTAAAAGTTGGATGTACTTCCTATACCAAGATCAAGATTTGGGGAATGATGATGATGCTGAACACCAGGGTACTGGGGGATCCCATAGAACATACCGCTGTCATAATGCTCAGGTAAAGGACGAGTATCAAGACTAGTTGTGCTCCCTGCAGCTGTGACTGCCATCTGGATATCAGGTGGTGGGTAGTTTGTTATGCCACCCAAAAAGATGCAGGGCTCATGATGGAGATATCCCTGGCCTCGCTGATCCATTTCTAAATCAATCATCTGACTAGGGCATATCATATTTCTTTGGCCCATGCTGTTCAAATAAATTGTTGCTGCAATTTGTCCCTGCTTCATAGTCAAAAGAAAAAGAAAATAACTCAAGCTCAGTTCAGAATGATAAACCACATTATAGTTGACATCTAATAAACAGAAAAATGATAACCGGCCACCATGCATTTATCCATTTACTAAAGTGAATCTGTAAAAAAAAAGTTTGAACCAACACAGAACAAACCAAAAGGAAATGAAACTTTGTCACATATTCAACCTAAATCTGAAAACGGGACTAATATCTTATTTATCCAACTTAAGAGCCAATACACAAGACATGAAAAGCATTACTTTCTAATCACACCTTCTTATCTATTTATTTAGAGTTTGTAATAGATGATTCTATCTCACCAGAAGCATAAAGGATTTCCTTCCAGCAACGAAAAAGAACCAAATATATTAATAATATCAACAAATCCACTTTTTAAATTGCAGCACTTGCAAACCAAGAAAAGATTAATTTAGCATCTCGGACAAAGGCATGGATCTTCTAAAACATACTAATCTCATGCAGTCTAAGCTATTACCGAATGTGCTCCACCTTCTTACCTTGTCCACTAAATTAACCTAGGCTAGAAAAAGCTTTGCCAAGAGGAAGTAAAATCTAATTTTCCATCACTTAAAATAAGAGACTCAAAAATTAAAATCCATGGCAAAGATTAAATTCTGCAGAAGAACAAAAATTTCTTACGACATCTTCCGAGCTATCAAAGCTCAAATTGTTAATCTTCCCGTACATACTATCATACGTCTCCTTGCTCACATTTTCAACCACACAACAAGACATAATCACCATGATCTAGCCTTAAATTTGTCCACAAAAAATGTTATAAAAAAAAACTTCTTCACTACCGAGATAGGCATTCAAAATAAAAAACCCATCATCGAAAACTTTCCATCCACAGAATCGCCTATATCAAGCCACAAAGAGGAGAAAATCCCAATATTTACCCTCCTGTAGAACTATATTCAAGTTGTTGATAAAAATATCATAATTATCTATCAAATTTTTGGGGGCGAAATCCCACAAAAGATTTCAACTTTTTGCACAAAAAATCCCCATCCCTGAAGGGCACCCCCCGAATTATCCTACCAAGCTCCTCATATAATTAAAACTTCGAAGAAACAAAAAAAAGAAAGGAAAATTTTCAATTATCTATCTTAATTTCAAGCAAATTTGTCAAATTGTTGAGTACCCATTATTTATTTAACAATAATCGAGAATTTGTCAACAGCCATACAAATTCAAATTTAAAAAAAAAAAAGAAAAAGAAAAAAGACCATCTTTTTTCTTCGGCGTACCTTATAATCATGAACAAAATCACAGCCCAGAAAAAAGAACACCAGCTTATCCTAGAAAACCCTGAAAGAACCCAAAGAAGAAAAAAAATACCAAAATTTTAGTTTAGTCAAAATCGCATTACTCAAATTCAGACAATGTCGAACCCTAGGACACAAAGATTAACCGTAAAACTAAAAATCTTGAAAAAAAAATTCCACAAAAGAAAAAAGAGAGAAAAGAAGAGAAACTAACCGAATTGATGCGAAATTTGAGAAAAAGAGAGAGAATGAGAGATCGAGAGATCTGAGACACTTAATATTATTTAGAAAAAAAAAAGCATAAACATAAAAATTCAGAGGAAGAGAGAAAGAGAGAGAGAAAGAGGCAGAGACAGAGACACTTTTCTACTTTTATAAACGGAGTTCTTTGGGTTTCTCTTTTTTTTTTTTTTTTTTGGGAGGGGGAGTTATTTTTAACCGGCGCAGTAAATTGGCTTATGTCATAATAATACTATTTATATTGGGTTTTTTCTATTAATAAATTGATTATTTAATTAATTGTTACTTAAGAAAATGAAAGTTTTAAATTAAAAGCTATGTTGATTTAATATTTATTATTATAATTAAGAAAATCCACTCAAAGGCTTAGGAGGATATCAACATTATGCCTTTTTGTTCAGATAAAAAATTCCATCAAAATTTCTTTTGTTTTCATATATTTAGAATTCATAATATTAAACTATTTAGCAAGAATTAAAATAAAAAAAAAAAAAAAATTTATGAAATTTATGCGTATTAAGTGAAAGAAGATCTTTACTTATAAACTCAAAACCTATCATATATTATGTAACGTATTCGTTGAATTAATCTTTTCACTCATAAAAGAGATGATTCATTTTAACTTGAACTTATCTCGAGTAAGATATTTCCCTATGAGAAGCACATATCGAGAAAAAATTAATAAATTTTGATATCACTTATCATCGATCTATACTTTTAACTCAAAAAATATATACTAATGTCGAAATTTACTATCAAAATATATAAAAGATGGATTTGAATGTCCTATATAGAATTCAAAAGTACAGTATTTTTTAAAGTCACATGGCCATAAGAGGGGAGGAACTTTAGCTAATCATAGGTGTATTCCCCACCATTTGATTTAACAAAGGTTGGTTGGTGGTTGTGCAATTATCAATGTTAAATCCCTACTTGTCCCCATTTTTTTTCAATGGATCCCATACTCTTTATGTCAATTTTAAATCACAACACAAATTTTATTTGAAGAAAATCCATCCGATATTTGATCTTCAATATTTTTTCTTTTATATTTTATCTGAAATGATAATGATCAATTAACATGTAATTATACATATTTCAATTCCAAAATCGAAATAATTACATTTCAACTCAGTCTAACCTAAATGCTGATTGGACCAATGGCTCAAGGAATTCAAGCTTGCCTACACAAAAGGGAGTCTTGAATCACCAAATTAACCAAGTCCAAATTGCTGGTGGTCTAACTTGTGAAGCAAGTACCTTGTTGTTGACCAAAAACTAAAGCCCTAATAAATATTAAATAACACAATGTTTTCAATGTGATTTATTTTTCTTTGGTTAATGTGATCATCTACTTTTGACCTCAATCTACTATCTTTTCTACCCTTTCATATCAATAAAATAAAATAAAATAATGCTAATCAAACTTTGATAATACTAAAAGTAAAAATTATAAACCATAGTAATTTTTATTGAATCATATATTTAAGCACGTCGTTTTATTTTATTTTAATATAATATTCAAAAAAGCTCTTGAATTGTGTAAGAGGAGAGAAAAAATATTATTTATTTTTTTATGTTTAAATAATATTGATTGATATTAATATAAAAAATAAAAAAATTACATATTATATTATTATTTTACATTAACATGTTATATTATTATTTTTTATAATACATTAAAATATTATAATAATCTTCTATAATGTAAAATAATAATTATAAAAATTAATTTAATTTAAAATAAAATATTACGAATTTATTAAAAAAAATTGATTTGGCTGACAAAGGGCTTTTGGGGGAGATGGGTGATTGGCGTAGAGTGGAGGAAAAGGGGCCCTACCATATGGTTCAGTTTCGATAATGTGATAAAATACCAACGCATATACTTCAATTCCCATTACCAAAAAAAAAAAACTTGTAATTTTCTGCACATTTGGGCACGTGGGGGCCACTCTAATCCTTAGCCGCAAACGGCGACGCCTTGCTTAGCATATCCAACACAACCTGTTTTCTTTTGCTTCCCTATCTAGATTACCAAAAATTAGTTCAAATTTCCATTATAAAGTATGGGTTTAATTAAATTTATCACGATGTATAAATATGATATTTCTATAAAAAGAAAATAATGATAAAAAGAAGATTTTAAAAAGAGAAATTATAAATTTTTCGAATGAGTGGTGTTATGTATAATTTTTATATAAATTTATGTAGATTTTGAGGTAAAGGTAAAAGATGGAGGAGCTTATCTTGAATTAAGGAGGTGGAGATATCCTAATATTGTAGGAAATAATGATTGAAACATGAAATAAACAATGGAGGGGAAAGGGGACTATCCACTTATCCCATATGACATGATGCATTGAATCATTAAAAGAGGGGGGTGAAAAAGGCAAAGAAAATGATTGGACCACGAGTCACTAGCTAATTTGGTAAATTAATCTCAAGTCCTTAATTAATACGTGCTTGATTAATTATTTTAAGTTTGACGGTAGTCCATTTGAGCAAAGATGAGTGGCCATTTATTCCCCTCTCTCTCTCTCTCTCTCTCTTTTAATTAGAATTTCCACATGATAAGAAAGATTTTTATACATGATCTTAATCATTCCCACCTTGCTTTCTTAAAATGGTTTACCAAATGTCATCCTAATTCTTGTTGAATCTTTATCCCACATCAATTTCAATAGTTGGTTTTTCCTAACTTATCTAATAAATCTAATCATTAGAACGAAATAACAATAATCATATTTGTTACGATTGTTCAATCTTAATCATTAATCATATACATACGGTAATAATACTTATAAGTTGCTTGCTCTTAGATAGTAAGTCCAAAAAGTCCAGAATTTGGTACCCTTCCTTGGTTTGCTTATGTTTGAAACAAATCAAAAACCCATTTATGCCTGCCATTTTTTTAACCTAATTTATGCTTTGAGATATTCCTTTCCTGTTTTTTGAAGAGAGTTAAGGTTAAAAAAGGGTGGCAAGGAGGAATATAAGAGGAAGAGGAATTCTTTGCATCTAGGCGTTCAAATGAAATGAACTAGTCTAATTAACAAGGTATCTTTTTTTTCACTTTTCTTAATGCCCAACAAGGATGGATTATTGTGCTGGCTTTTGTCGATATTTGAAGGCTACCTACACCACCATCTTCAACTTCCTCTAAGCTTTTGATTTTATTATATATTCCTTTATTTGGTAAGAAGTTTGAGTGGTGCAATGAGCTATGGTGACTTAGGCTAGATCAAGCCCCCTTCCTCGCAAGAACCACATCCCGGCCGCCCCCCTTGCCTCGTGCAAACGAGTGCATACATACATGCATATAGAAATAATATTCCATTCAAACTCATTTGTTTAGATTATTAATAATAAAGGAGAATATATAAGCTTTAAACCAAACTTATTCGTAAGCCATTCGGTGAGCATACCAGTTTGTTCCCTTTTAAAGAAAAGGAAAGGACTAATGGGGAAGCTATGCATATACTTTCTTTTCTCGTAGTACATGAAAGCTAGCTTTGTATCTAACTTTGATCTCATAATCCAAACTTTTAAGTAGAATCACTTGAATTCTGAGCTAAACCCGAACTAGCAATGGAAGAACTCTAGAAACAGTAATCTAGATGTTCAAACTTGGAACACACAGGTGAGCAAGAGCAACTCTCCTACTTTGCATAACAAATCCCCTGCAAGCCAAATCTATGCAACCGGTTTACATGTTTCGCATGCCTTAATTTTTGAATAAGAAACGTGACAAGCTGGCATGTAATTTAAGATGATCCAAAAGCATATATAAAGTCCAAGGAGTTTAGAAGATTGATAGTATCTATCAGCTTCAAAACCGTTCTTTATGGGATAAAAGCTTCAGTATACAAATGTAAAGGTCAAATATAAAAGATAGAAAAAAACAGATGGTAAACAGATCTTAAAGATTCCTCAACCTGGTTATTTGCGAGCTTCAACCTTCTTTTGTTCTCTCACTGTAAGATCAAATTAGAAATAACATCAGCTTCTACAGAAAATGCAAATATGCATATAAGGCAGTCTAACTCTGTTTTCTAATCCAAAATCTCATGCTTATTCTCTAAATGAGAAAATTTGAAGTAATTAACTTGCCAGAGAGAAAGCAAAAGCTGTACATTATAATATAAAGAGGAGATTATTAGCAACAGGAACCATACCAGCCTTCTCTTCTTCTCTCTTCTTAGCAGCCTCTGCCCTTTGTTGCCTTATCAGGGCTAAGCGCTCTGCCATAGCAATTATTCCAATATTAATAAAACAATAGAATAAAAGATGTACAGGAAAGGTGAGTGTATTTAGTTTCAATAAATAAAAAAGATTCATTGCAACATCAGATAATACTTAAGATGAAAGTACACAGAAATGCGGGATAAAAAACAACCAAAGAAGTTCAGGTATTAGCCAAAAACATGGCAGTGGTCATGAGACATCAAGGTGATGCCTTGATAAAATACTAATATATTCAACTCGTATGACATTAGTCTCCACCAAATTGGAGAAACCAATTCAGTTGTATTTTATATGGAAACCAGCATTATTCATCTCTCAGCCTCTTCCTTTTAAATACCTCCATGAAAGATTGATCTAGATTGCTAAGTGGTAAAGAATTACAAGCAGTACTAACACCTAACACTCATGAGACTTTCCATCCTCATTTTTTATTTTGCTTAACTTTCCATCATTATTCACCAAAGAAAACAGTTGTAAACTATTCACTACATTAGAAGATTAGACTTATGGCTGGAAGAAACCAGTTTCAAAAAATCTGAGAAGATGTTACATGACTTCCTCACACAAACCTTTCCCATACTTTTACTGCCAAATTTTAAAACCTCACATGTATAATGAGTGAAGACAGCTATTCAAATCATGTTACCTATACATACACAATTCTCATCAGCAACCAAATAGCGGTCTCCCATCAGCACCAGAATGCTCCATATGAAATTTGCAACCATTTAGGACATGGACAATTATCCTCCGTGCTTCCACCAATGCTTAGACTACTACATTATTATTTTTGTCACAGTTATATAAAGATTGTTTATGCACAACATACATTACTACTCCCTGTAATGACTCTCAAGGGAGATGAGTTATTATTTTTACATTTTGTCTCCCTTGTTCAGCACCTAGTCAATGAACGTGATTTCAACTTCAGCTGTACATGTTCAAATTCAATTAACCACAAAGAAGCAAAACAATCCCAGGGAGAGGATAGAAAAAGCCATGTTGAAGTATGATGATATTTTCCAGGACCATTTGAAGTCCTTGACAACTTACTTAGCACTCAATTTAGGTGTCACTACAGTAGAAACCAGATGAAGAGAGAAAAATAATCAGCAAATCATATCTTTATCAACTATTTACCTAAATCTTTTCTTGCTTGTTCAGTTTTCCCTTGTTCCTGCAGCTTCATATATCGCTCATGCGCTTTTTGCTTTTCTATCTCCTCTCTGCAATCATAAATAGTAAAATAAGAGCACAATCCAAGCTGGCCTTAAAGGATATAATCAATTCAAATATAGAATTACAAGCTTTAGTACCTCAACCACCATTGCCAACAAAAATTTCATAAGAAGTAAGAGATATAGAGCTTCAAAGATGGGTATCAACAAGCAAGTTCAACATGTTTTGAAGCAAATAATCTACAGTACTTTCACTGAATCAAAAGGCTTCTGGCTCATTACAAGACAAAAAAGATAGGCAAAATTTTTATCATATCCTGCCCGTTTCCACCTGGGATTGTGGTCTAGAAAACATTCTGTCTGAAAGGAAGTTAAGATTTGTAAAAGCATAGTTATTTTGTTCCCTAGAAATGATTACATTGAACTCAAATTCAGTGGCCCTCTGTGACAAGGAATGAGGAGGCAGGTGCTGCTATCAATTTACGAGATGATCAGGGTAAGCCACTGGCTGGAACTACCCACATGGTTAATGCCAAAACATCTATTGCAGAATTTAGCTCTAAAAGTAACAATAGAGGTATGCAAAACAAAGAGTACCAAACATATGCAAATCTAAGCATGCCTAGAACTAGTGTTGACCATATAGTTAACAACCTGTGCCTATGTTATTGGATTAAAGACATCAAGGAACTTTTAAAGTGGTGATGTTATAATTTAACATGTTACATGAAAGCTATAGTCTGTAGAGATAGCAGGAAGTTAAAGGTGTATGGTACGTAATTTTCAACTTTCGAGGAACAATTTTTAATCCCTTAGCTTATTCACATTATACATTTTGTTAGTTTTTGAGTTCCTTCACTAACCAAAAAAGAATCAAGTTTAATATCTAAAAGCCAATTACCTTTCATCCTCAAAGTTATCCCAAAAATACAACTTAGTTAAAACGAAAGCACTCCTATGTCATATTAATCCTAGATCCAGAAAAAGGAGAAAGAGTTATAGTGCTTCAGATCAAATGAAAATAGGACCAACAATGAGAATCATAATCTAAAATTAACCAACACTGAGAACAGTAAATATTTGTTAGTTGTATAAAACTTAATGCTCATAGCTTTCTCCCCTCTATTCAGTAAACTATTTCGAATATATCAAGAATTTCCATGATATATCAACTTTCAAGCTGCAAAATAAAAAAGATCAAAAGTCACCCATCAAAGTAATGTTCACAAAATCAAAATCCTACAGTTCTGTTTCAAAATTTTTCGTACTAAATCCATAAGTTCCAAAGTATTGGTTTCTAAACCCAAACAAAATAGTCAGATAAAATTGTATTCAGAAAATGGAAATGAACGAAAAGTTAAATTGCCATTTCCTTTTTGTAAGGTATCCCAGATAAATTAATACTAAATCAAAACAACAATTGTTACAAACTAGTCAAATTTTTCCAGCAATCAAAAATTGCCCAGATTCATTTGATAAAGCAGTGATTAGTCAGATTTGATGTACGAAGAGCATTTACAAACCTTTCACGCCTCGAGAGTTCAGTTGTTTTCCCCATCTGGAAGATAAAATTTCAATTATTTAATACAATTATAAATTCATCTTAATACAGACTTTGTGCAGCATAGAAATATATGTAGAACTTACATCAACATCTCTAGCTTTCACATTCTTTTGTTTAGCCACATTTGGATTCTCAATCTCAATAAGCCCTTGGGTCCCTTTTCGCTTCTGCCATATTAGCACCAATTGCAAATAGAAAGCATAAAAGGAAAAGAAGACACTAAGAACTTAATGCAAATCAACCCAATTAGACCAGAAAAGTGCACAAAGATAATGACCTCAGATTCTTCTTCTACTTCCTCCTCAGACTCTTCTTCTTCTTGTTCCTCCACTTCAGCCACTTCCTAATATGGCAGAGAAAAAACCATCTCATTACCAAGTGAAAATGAAGTATAAAAAACACACACATGCACATTCATAAAGGAAGAAAGAGAAGCATAGTAACAAAGACAATTCCAAAAGCACATATTTAAGAAAATAAAATTAGTTTTTTTTTTCAATTAAACAGTCAACACAACTGATTATGAAGCATGAAAAAGAAACAAAACAATCATCCTTACACTTTGCAAAAAAAATTAAAAAATGAATTGGTAAAAAAAAAATCATCCTTATACGTAGCTGATAAATCTACTGTAATCAATTTTCATCCATTTATTTTCTTTATGTCAAGTCCAAATTATCCATCCATTGTAAGCATCTAGAAGATAAAGTCCTCACACATATAAAGTCCAACTCCAAACTAACATTTTCTTACAATAAATTTAAACAAAGATGATACTAACATGATTTAAAACACAAACACCCTAACCCCATGAAAGTTACAACACTCAAGCTGTCACCCATTAACCGTGAGAAAAAACATCCAAGCTAACTTTCCAAAAATCAAACAAAACATCAATTTTGGTCTGTCAGAGTCAACCTTGAAGGATTTTCTTCTTCACAAAAATCAATATCAAGATTAAACATATACTTCCTTATGCACAATAATAGCGATAATCCATGATAACAACAAACAAATGACCATAAGAAGAAAAAAAAACAGTTTTTAACGATCAGAAACTAATTTCGCCACACATATTATTCATCAAATTTTATAACCAAGTGCATCAACCGCATAAAAATCTTACCTTCTTGAAAGTACGGGGACGAGCAGAGGTACCAGCAACTACAACCATTAAAACATTAAAAAAACAAACAGTAAGATTAATAACCAAACCACAAAAGAAAAGCACGAGATATTGATTATTTTTCTTATTTTTGTCTCTGAATTTGATTTAAAGTTCCAAACTTTAGCTGAAAAGAAAAAAATATTAATATATACAAAAATTTCCAAATTTAACTTTACATGCATTTAATGCAGGATCACTTCCAAGTTTATTCGAAGCTAAAATTAAAGTTTAAAAGTAGAAATTTCTCTACTTTCTGTATTTGCCATCTAAAATTCACCAAAAAAAAAAATCAAATCAAAAGCAAAACGCTAGAGCTATTGATCCAGCAGCTGAAAGCTCCGTTAGATCTGATACCAGGAAACCGTATACAAATTCGTATAAGTACATGCATATGAATTTTATTATAAAAAAACACACACACACACAAATACATAGAAAATGAGAAGAGAAAGTGAAAGAGAGAGTACGGAGCTCTTCGGGAGTAGAGAAGTGGCGGTGGCCGGTGGGCTTGCCCTTGAACTTTCCTCTTCCCATTTTCTTTTTCCCTGATTACAAAGAGAAACGAAGGATAAAGAAGAAGAAGAAGAAGCTGAAAGTGAGAGTCTGAGACTGAGACTGAGTATTTCCTTAATCTTTTATATACATATGTATATATACATATATATATATACATATATGTATATATTCTTTTTTGAATTGGATTCTTAATTCTTTAAACTTGAATCTCTTTTTCACTGTAAATTTTATGCATCGATCAGCCATTTCTTTGACAAAGACCAAGTCAGGAGCGTTACTTCACGCGCCTCTTGATTATTTTTTAAATTTTTTTAATGATTTTTCGTTTTTGTATTTGAACAATGAAGATAATATATAATTAAGAAGAATATAGCAATCTTCCTTTTTTTTCCTTTGCATAATATAATAATCTCCTCTAAGGAGAAATAAAAATTAAAACAAAATAATTAATAGTTTCATTTTGAATAATTCATTCCACTTAACAAATTAGTGATTTTTTTTATTGGAGTAGTATTTTTTTTAAAGAAAATATTAAGTATTAAGCATTTCTATTTAGTATTATTATTATTATTATTATTAAAATTGATTAATACCATATAATACTTCATCTCATATCAGATTGATCACTCTTAAAAACTTAAATTCAAACAGTTTAACATTTTGATTTATTGATTAGTATATTATCTTTCTATTTAAAAAACATAAATTCAAATTCTCTTTTTTAAAATTAAAACTTAAATTTAAATTTTCAAAGTCGCGTGATTTTTAATATAAATTTCCGATCGTATTGCACTAATAAAATCTTAATCTTGAAATTATTGGATTAATGGTGCTTCAATTTAACCTAGTATGATGATGCCCCTCCTTTCTCATACAATGAATATGATTAGATCTCTTCTAGAAGAGTAGCCAAGGAATATAGATCAAAGATATGATGTGAAAGTATTGAAGGACATTGTTCTCTTTTTGGTTTTGGAGGGTTTTAATCAAAAATTCCAGTTCCAATTTCAATGTGGCAATGGGAATTTACCTTTAAGGGAATCCCACTTGCAACAATACAATAATAGTAATGCTGATAAAGATTGTTCCATCACCAAAGTGTCAAAATTTTATTCCAAATCCTTTGATAAACAAAGGTGGCCAAAAAGCTTCATTACTTTTTGTGAAAGATGTGGACTGGTCGGTTCAGCATTTTTATTGTAAGGAATAAAACTTATTGGAATCTTTCCACCTATTGCAATGATCAAACTTAGTCTAGGACTCATGCCCTAAAATGTGTACACACTCAACTTACTTTATAATTGAGTACCTTATATTATTCGATCTGATTATTTATGATTAAGGTATTTCATAATTCAATTCGTTTGAATAGTAAAATTAGTACCCATTATTCAAATTTGATTATAATAATAATTTTTAATATTAAAAATAATATTTGTTAAATTTTTTCATTAATTAATTCCATTTAATTGATATTTAATGAATAATATTTAAGATATTTAGATACGAGTTTAGAAATTTATAAGGTTCGAGTTTAGGTTCAGGATGCCTTAAAAATAATGAGAACCCTATATAATTGACATCTCTACTCAAAACCAATTGGGCTTTTGTCAGGTTTCCTACTCTTTACCTAATAGAATTATTGTTGAATTTGAATAACTTAATTATTTTTTAGTATGACTTTAAGTATACAAATAAAAATTTGACTTAGCTTGGAGTGCATCTCTAATTGAACCGAGTTAGGGGTAAGCGATGGGTTCATTCAATGAAAAAAAATTTATAATTAAATTAATCAAATGTTGTTTAAAAATTAATTACATTAATTAAAAATCAAGTATTAAATGATAAATCGAATTAAATCAATTAAGGTTCGAATCCTTCTTTTTTCAAATTAAAAAAAAATGATTCATTTAATTATGTTTTTCCACACTAATAACAAAATGAATAAAATAAATTAAGAAATCTTGACAACACTATAAGTTTCGTAACATTAAATATTCCCACAAACATGTTTTAAAGTATTAAAAAGATAAAAGACAATCATAAATGAAAATATACTAAAATGTTCAAACAAAAAGAAATAATTAAATATTAAAAATTTTAACAAGAAGACAACTTTAATAAAAATAAATAAATGAAGATCTTAGATCACTTAATCGGTTAATTCAACAAAATTTCAAAATAAAATCCAATCAAGTTATCGATTTAATCGTGTTTGCTTTTAAATTAATTAAAAATTTGAATTAATTGAATTATTTTGACTGAATTAATAAATTAATTTCATTTATTCGGTTAGACTTAGACCTCGCTAATATTTTTTTTATTTACTAAATTTAATTAAATGTACCCTGCATTATTAATCTGGAAAAAAAAATAAAGAAAAGGGCTGAATTCAAAACCACAGATGCCCTAAGCCCTAAACCCTCGTAATTCCAAAACGACATCGACTTGTCAGTCAATATAAGCGTCCTTGACCTTCCTTCCTTCATTGTTCCTGAACTTGGCAAAGCCTTGGCAGAAGAAGAAGAAGAAGATGAGCAGTGAAGTGAAGAAAAACCCAAAGCAATTTCAGCTAAACCCAAACTGGGCTCAACTCCAACAAGTACATTTTCTCTCTAAGAAGACTCTACCTTTACCTTTATCTTTTTTAATACAAAAAGATTTTTACTTGGTTTCTCTTTGGTTCACCTATTGCAGAAACTGAAGTCTGCTAAGCCTTCCAGGCACCCCCAAATCCCACGATCAGAAACCCCAAATTCCATATTAGGTAATATCACTATCAAATTTTGTTTCTTTTTTGTTGCTTTGGGAAACAAGAAACAAATAAATTTTTTTTTTTTGGGTCAGAGTTGAGAAGACCAAATTTTGATTCTTTTTTGGTTACTTTTTATTGCCATATTTTTATTGGTTGGGATTGTTTTGTTTATAGGGAAGCGTAAGGAGAGGCCTACTCCAGAGTGTGACGATGCTAAGCCTAATCCTTTACTCCCAACAAATGATGATTCCAGGTGCTTTATTTGTTATTTGATCCTTCAAAATCAATGCATTGTGATTTTTTACCTTGTTTATTTACTTTCTTGGGTTTAATAGTGTTTCAGCTAACAAATAAAGCATGGTCCAACATCTGCAAGTTTACCATTTAACTTGGATTTTGCTGTTTAACTTGATATGGAGTAAAAAGGTGATTTGACCCGAAATGGGAAGCATTAGGATTGGTTAAATATAATGGTTAGTATAACAATTACAAAAATGAGTTGATTATAGAGCATGTTTTACATCTTGTTGATTGCTCTTGGGGTTTTATGCAAGAAGAAACTTATATTTGGTGCTTATTTTGTGGTCTTGTTGAGCAATAGAGATGTTACAATAACATTATTGCCTAGGACGGTAGGGTCACTCTAAGGTGTGTTTAATGTGAAATGGGATTTTGTTGTGCAATAGGGCGCTGCTAGAAGCTCCAATTTTCCATCATTTAAGTTGATTTGATATGTTTTTTATATTCTGTCTCTTTGCCTTCCGCTTTTGAGTACCATTTTGCATGACTCATCAACAATAATTTGACAGTTTGACAGATGTGCTAGCTATGGATTGTGAGATGGTTGGAGTTGGTCAGGGAAACAAAAGTGCTCTTGGACGAGTTTCACTGGTAATTTCAGCTCTCACTGCATTTTCGAAACTTGCTCTTCACATATTATGGTCTTATTTACACATAGCTGAAATGCTATGGTGGGATAACCTATATATAAAATAAACATCACTGTTGTTCCCTGTTTTGATTGGAATTATTATTCTTATAGTTTTAAGAAGAACAAATAATATCTGATGCAGTGTTAACATCTTCAATCACACCTTTCACTTTGTCACAGTGTCTTGGTCAGAACTAGGTTGCAATACTCTATTAATGACTTTATTAGTCAAGGAACAACTCCAGCCTAGTGCGTTAAAATCAGATGCCGCATCATCTATTTATTGCTTCTAAAATATACACTTATAAAGTTATTGTTTAACTTAGACAGTAGGAACCATACCCGAAATAATTATCCGTCGAACAAGTCCTGCTTGTTGTCATGTTTTATTGTGGAGAAAGGATGAAGGTCTTGTTGTGGATGCATGTAGTTGTCTCTCATTGTAAAGCTGATTGGTGAATCCTTAGAAAGAAATATGTTGTTTCTTTTATATGGTGTTCAGCTATAACTTTCCTCATAATTGGTTGGATGGAAATGCTCTTGTGTTAGGGTTAACTGCACTTGTAACCTGTTGCTTTTGCAAGTTCTTCGTTTTTCATTCTTTCTCTTCTTTTGTGGGTTGATTTACTTTCAAGTGAGTGGTATGTTGTCTGATCATCTTTAGAATTGAGGTTTTGTTAGCTTTTTATCATAAAAATAAGACACAGTTCTAGCTAATGCACAAGAAAAATTAGATTCATCTGAGGGTTGACTTTAACTTTGCCATTTTAATTAGATTTTGAGTTAAAGATATTATTCTTTTTAAGGTCATTGATTACTTAATACTTCAGTTAATGACAGGTAAATAAATGGGGAAATGTCATATATGACGAGTTTGTGCGGCCTATAGAACGTGTTGTTGACTTCCGCACACGAATTAGTGGCATTCGACCTCGAGACTTGAAGAAAGGTTGGCTTTAAATTGCTTTGCTCATTAATGTAATGCTTTGAAACTTGGAGCATCATCTCCTGAAGGCCATTGGCTTACTAATTTTTTCTATTGCATAAACATTATATATGTGTGTTTGGTATACTTTCAAGGTTGCCCCTTTCATATATGGAATGTCAGCATTGTAATTTACAGGAAGGTATGATTGCTTTGGGGAACAATTTTTGGGCATAATGCATGGTTTTTTGTCTCTGCAGCAAAGGATTTTCGGGCTGTTCAGAATAAAGTGGCAGAGTTGATCAAGGGAAGGATTCTTGTGGGTCATGCCTTGCACAATGACCTTAAGGTATTCCATATCTGCTTTGTATTTTTTTTGTTGGTTGTGTGAAGTATAAAACTGGGTCCTGATACTTAGACGTGGATTGCTTATTATAACAGGCATTACTACTAGCACATCCTAAGAAGGACCTGCGGGATACCTCAGAGTATCAACCCTTTCTAAAGTATCAGTCTTTGCTCCATTAGCTACTATGGCCTAGACAGCTGCATTATAATTGACTTTGCTCTACACTTTCTATGTTGCGTTCTCATAACAAGCATCGTTGTTGAAACAGAGAAGGAAGAAGAAAGGCACTTCGGCATCTTGCAGCGGAGGTTCTAGGTGTTGAGATCCAGAATGGGGAGCACTGCCCTGTAAGTAAAAAGTTCATTACCTACTTGTTTTCCAAAAACTTATTAAAACATTAAATAATTACATTAAAATTATGTTTAAAGACCTACTGGTTGATTGATTTGCTATGCTCTAAACTTGTTTGTTGACATTACTATTCCAAATCCAAGATGTTGAAAGTCACAGGTTTGCCAATGGGTGGAGTTGGTGGTTATAATCTTATGTAAGAGTGATTTTTATTTTTTGTTCATTTTAGAGATTATCTGAGGATCTAGTGTTTCATTCTTGAAGGCCAAAGTGCTAAGGATGCTGTCAATATGGCATGGCAATAAAATGGCACTGTTATGCTCTATTATCTGTAATTCATCACAAGAGGGCAGTTTACTTTGGAAGAATATTTGGGGCAAGACAGCACCTTCTCAAGTGTCCTCATTTTTGTAGGATCCTTACTGTGGATAACTTAATTAGAAGGGTAATTTTATTTTATTGAGCTAATGTGTAAGAAGATGCAGAAAGGATGAATCAACTAAATCATTGCCCAGTAACAAGGGAATTATGGTATCTTATTCCAAAACATATTCGCATCGGTCATGAATTACCAATCATTTGGCTGGTGTTAATCAGCTCAATGTGTTAAGGGGCAAACCAAGGGGCTGCGTTCCATATTTTTGCCCTAAAACTATCATGCAACCTTTTTTTAACTAATATGTATTCTCTTTTTTCAGATAGACGATGCTCGCGCTGCAATGCTTCTTTACCATAAAAACAGAAAGGAATGGGAGAAGAGTGTTAAGGAACAAATAAGGCTCAAAGAAAAGCAGAAGAAACGCAAGCATAGAAAGAAACCAAAGTCAGACTGCAACCATGCTCCAACTGCATCTTAGTGGCGGCTACTTGCTTAATTGTTGTACTTCATATTCTGGAATCTTACAGTAGGATCACCTTAATAGGGATTTAAGAGTTCTTTCCGAAAGCTGGACTGGAAGAGACAAGGATGCAGCACTGGACAGTTTTATTGCACCTACCGTAGGGGTAAGCAACAGATGGCTAACCTCTTCAGCTACTGACCCCATGCCAAAAGAACATAATCAACTTTGTTCTCATGATGAGAAGAACTTGTTTAGGTTTCCATTCCATTGATTTACAAGTATCAGAAACATTGCTTTTTCTTTCCTTCCCCTCCCCCTCTCCACCCCCCCTCTTGTATCATTATTTTTTGAAGGAATTTGTAAAATGATTTATAACATTATTCATAATTTTGCAATTCAGAAATTCTACATTGTGTTGTCAAATTTGTACCAAAGTGACACAATCTATATTTACCTTAGCAGTTGAACTTGATTATCAAATCTTCCAAAAATTTAAAAATTTGGGTACGCAAACATATTGATTTCATTAGACAATTTAGTTTTTGAAATCATCTGACTTCTGTTAATCATAAATATATGTGTGAATGTCCTTTATGCTATGATTCAATAAGTTCAAATCAAGTCAAACAACTCAATAGACCAAATGCAAAAAGTATAATCTGATTTGAATTCTTAAATTGAATTATATTAGAATTATGATTCAAATAGTTATTAGCTTATAAATAGATCCTTAATAAGATCTTTTTACTTCCTCTAAATATTTTCTTTATAGTTATTCTCTTTCTTTCATAGTTATTCTTTCAATTTATATTACATATCACGTTATCAGCATAATTTTCTCTCAACTTTCAGTATTATTTAGATTTTATCTTCATCTCACAGTTGAAGTTCGAGTTCTTTCAAGCGTCTAAAAGGATTTCAATGGTAAGTCTTTGAATTTTTATTTTAGCAAATCAAGTAAGTGACTCGATATCTTTTTAGTGTTTTCATTCCCTGAAAATCAATCTTAATGTGAATTTATTATCATGTAATATATAATATATTTTGTCCTTTAATTGGAAAGTGAATTTGTTATTATATAATAAGATAAAATACACAAATCTCCTTAACTTTTAATCATAATTTCACTTCGGTCTATTAGTTTTCAAAGTGAATACTCTACCCCAAACATGTAAACAATGTTAATATCTAATATAGGTCTATTAGATATGAAATGTCTAAAATATCTTTTTTTATTTTTTCACTATTTTCCTTTCTTTTCAGCCAATTGGTCGATGATGCTTCCTTACTTTGGCTAGCCACCCCAAAAAAATACCAAATCTAAAGAGCACCGATGCCCTTTTGGGGAGCATCGAGCACCAGACCGATGCTCTTCGAGGAGCACTAGAAACTGAGGAGCGCCAAATTGTGGCCTAGTGCTCCCAAATTCATGCTCTTTAGCTAGATTTGGCATTTTCCGATTAGATTTGGTCGGGGGATAATTGGCTGGTGGGAGGTTATTTTTTTAAAAAAAATTATAATTTGGTAATTTTTAAAATTAATAAAAGGTAAAATTATTTGTTTAATATTACCATATCATCAAATTAATGAAAATATTAATGGTTGACTAAAGATTAGATTTATGTGTCTAGTGGAAGATATTTTTTTGAGATCAAATATTTATTTTGAAAACTAATAGACACACGTGTAATTATGATCAAAAGTTATTGAGGTTTGTGTATTTTACCTTAAATAATATGTATCATATTTTGTCTCTTAATTTATTAAACTAGAATGTGAATTTTTATAATGTAGTATATATCATATTTTATCTCTTGATTTATTAACTTGGATTAAGTATGCAATATATATGATTATATATGATCTCTTTATTCTGATATTGGAATATGATTTGCTTAATACATGATTTCTTTGTTTTGAATTTCAAATATGATTATGCTCGGCATAAGTAACTCTATCATTGATAATATGAGATTTTGTATAAGACATTTTAAATTGAACATATAAAATTGACTTTATATGATATCTATTTTATTACAAGTGAAAAATACTATACTTTGAATAATTTGAAATTTTTTTTTTTGAATTTTATGTATTTTTGTGGTTGAGCAAAATAATAAGCTATTAATAAAAACTCATGAATTCCGTCGATTCTCAAAAATGAATGCAACATTATTTAATAATTATGGTAATGGATATGAAAGATATTACCATAATAATTGTAATCGTGGTGGTTAGACAAATCATTATTCTAATAATAAGGATACTTTTAACTCATCAGAAATGGATTAATATTTTTAACCTACTAAAAGTGAATAAATACTTTAACTCACCAAAAATTTATGAATTGTAAAGAAATATAAGAAAAAACAAAAATTAACAAAATAAAAAAGAATATAGAAAATATCCTGTCATTAATGTGACATAAAAAGCCATTGGTTACATATCTATCGTATGTTGAAATGTTTTGTTAAACTTTATCAAGTATCACTGAAAGCTAAAAAGGAAAAACATGGAAGCAAATTTTGTTTAAAATGAGTTTAGCCGTGGCTAAGTTGATATAACACATCATGAAGTTGTTGATTTTTTTTTTCACATTAAAAGAGGAATTGATTTTAATTGATAATAGCAATACTTAAAAATGAAATTTCTTAATAGTTTGTTAGTATGTTTTAGTATAACTTTATTATAAGGGTAAAATATTCTCACCTTCTTAATTTTTAATCATTATTCTACATGAGTCCATTAGTGTTCGTAGTGGACAATCTGCCATAAAAGAATATTTTCTCCTGAATACATAAGTTCAACCGTTAATTTAATGACATGATAACATTAAAAAAATAATTTTACCTTTTACTAATTTTAAAAATTATCACTATATAAATTACATTTTTTATTTTTTAAAATTTTTTCTCTCTTTTGTTAGGAAAAAAAAATCTCTTAGGCCACCTCACAACTGAAGGCATCTGGTGCCCTCAAAGGGAAGGGAGAACGATCTTAGGGATCTGATGCTCCCAAAAGTGTTCCCCTCCCTTAGGGAGCATTTGCTGTGGGGTTGTTGATTGGTGAATGAGAGCACTACCAACCGGTCACATTGTTTGAGAGAAAAAGAGAGAGAGAGAGAGAGAGAAAAAAGAGCATTTTGATTTTTTCATATTTTTTGTTAACGGTATTTGCACTTTTTAGTTTTATTGTTCATTTCGAAAATTAATGGGCTCGCATGGAATTATGACTAAAAATTAAGAAAAATAAAAGTATTTTACTTTTATTATAAAGATGTTTTTATATATTCTTATATATTTAAATAATATATTTTTATTATGCGTTTAAATTAGTAAATTATATATTTAATATTCTTTTATGTTAATTTATAAGTTTCTTACTATATATATTTATTTTATTAAAGAAAAATATGAATATTTATCTAGTTGGATTGAATATCAATGATGCAAATACATGTCTAGCAACAGTGTTACAATGCACACTATATTTAAAAATAAAAAATATTTTTTTCACTTGACAATAGAAGAAACCAATGTCAATACAATATTTGGTAATACAAGATTAATTAAAAACTTAAGAAGAGCCAGCAATTTACTACTTCGAAGAATAAAATTTATAATAAAGGATGCATTATTTTTTAACTAAGTCTCAAAGAAATTTATTAAATTTTAAATATATTTGTTTGAATGGATATTATATTGAGACAACAAATGAAAGAGACACTTAATACCTCTTTATTATGTTTATTATCTCGAATAAGATGTGTGTACTAAAAAAATTACTAGCTTTGTCTTCTGGATTGTATCACACAAAAATTATAATAATTGAAACTTATGCTATAATAAACTAGATATTTATTAATGATTTTAATGTTTGGCATGATCGATTGAGTCGTTTTAATCAATAATGATATAAAAAATTATTGAAAATTCATATGATAATTCATTGAAAAATCAAAGATTTTTCAATATAATAATTTCTCATGTGTTGCTTGATCTGAAGGCAAATTAATTGTAAGGCCATCACCAGCTAAACATGAGACTGAATCCCTTACATTTTTAGAACAAATTCCAGGTGATATATGTGGACTCATAATTTACCACGTGGATCATTTATATAATTTATTATTTTAATTGATGCATCGACTATATGGTCACATATGTGCTTATTATTAACTCGCAATTTGGCATTTGTAAGTTTATTTACTTAAATTATTCATTTGTGAGCACATTTTCCTAATTATGCAATCAAGATTATTCACCTTGACAATGTTGGTGAATTTACATTTCAAGCTTTTAATAAATATTACTTATTAGTTGGAATAATCATTTAATATCTTATTGCTCATGTTTATATAAAAAAGGATATAGTAGAACCAAATATTTATATTCTATGTAATTGGTTTATGGTCAAGAACCAAATATTTCTTATTTAAAAATTTTTAGATGTGCGACATATGTTCCGATTGCTCTACCATAACGCATTAAGATGGGATCCTTAAAGGAGGTTAGAAATAAATATTGGATACAAATCTTCATCCATAATTAAATATCTAAAATCATTAATAGAAGATTTATTTATAACAAAGTTTGTCAATTGTCATTCTAATGAAACCATTTTTCTAACATGAAGGGGAAAAAATAAACGATTGGAAAAAAATTTATTGGAATGCATTATTATTATTTAATTTTGATCATCGCATAAATCAATATAAACTTAAAGTTAAAAAGATAATTCATATGCCAAATATAACAAATCAATTATCAGATATATTTACTGACTTAAAAGAATAATTAAATCTCATATACTAGTTGTAAAAGCCTCTATTAGAATTGATATCCTTGTAAGACAAGGCACACCAGAAGTGAGAAAATTCAATCGATTCTAAAGATAAAAATCTTAAAAAAATAAGTAAATATATAAGATTGTTAGAAAGAGGAAATAAAAATTCTAAAAGAGACCCTAACATAATTGATAAAATTTTAGAAGAAATTTAGGTACTTGAAATTATTACAAATAAAGAGATATCAATAAATTATGTCATGATAGGAAAAGATGAAATCGGAATGAAATAACGTTGATGATATTTTGATATATAACATAGTGCTCAACATTATGAAAGAAAATGAGAAAATGTACATATAAAAATGATTGGCTAACGTGGAAAGATGCAATCAAGATGGAATTTAATTCTTTTGCAAAACATGAAAATTTTAGACTTGTAGTCCGTACCTTAAATGGTATAAAATCAGTGGGATATAAATGTATATTTGTGCCAAAATAAAATGAGAAAAATGAGATTGTGAGATATAAAGTAAAGCTTGTTGCACAAGATTTTACCTAAAAACCTAGTATTGATTATTAAAATATGTATTCTCTTGTGGTAGATGTAATTATATTTTTATATTTAGTTTGTTTGGCATTATACTAAAAGATTGCAATGTATCTAATGAATGTAGCTACAAGCTATTTATATGATTTACTTGATATCGATAGCTATATGAAAATCCCTAAAGAATTTAAGTTGCTTGAAACATGCAATTTTTGAAAAATTCATTTGATCAAATTAAATAAATATGTATATGGATTAAAGCAATCTAGTTGTATGTGGTACAATCACTTTAGTGAATAATTGTTAAAAGAAGATTATAAAATGATTCTATATGCCTGTGTGTTTTATAAAAAAGATTTGAATTTGAATTTGGCATAATTGTTGTTTATATTGATGACTTGACTATTATTGGAACTCTTGAAAAGTTATCAAAAACTATAGATTATTTTAAAAAAGAATTTGAGATGAAAGACTTTGGTGAAAACAAAGTTTTGTTTGGGTTTCAGATTGAATGCTTGACAAATAAAATCTTTATCCATCAGTCAAATTAAATAGTAAAAGTGTTAAAACAATTCTATATATATAAAGCATATCCTTTGAGTTAATTAATGGTTATAAGGTTACTAAATATGAAAAAGAACTATTTCTAACCTCGTGAGGATAATGAAGAACTTTTTTATCTTGAAATATCATATCTTAGTACCATTGGAGCACTAATGTATCTTATTAGTAATATACAACCTAATATATCATTTGTTATAAATTTATTAGTAAAACATAGCTCTTCTCATACTCAAATATATTTGAATGGAGTTAAATAGATATTTTGATATGTTTAAGGAACAATGGACATATACTTATATTACTTAAATGTATTCAAATAAGATTTAATTAGTTATGCAAATGTAAAATATTTATTTGATCTACACAAAACTCAATCTCAGATAAGTAACTTACTTACATATGGAGATATGACTATTTCATAGTGTTTTGTAAAACAAATTATAGTTGCTACTTCTTCTAAACGATGCAGAAATTTTAACAATTTATGAGGTAAGTTATGAATAGGTCTAGTTAAGATCTATAACTCAACATATTCGAGAAATGTGTGGTTTGTCAACCAAAAAAGAAATTCCAATTATATTTGTATAGCTCAGTTAAAAGAAGAATACATTAAAGGTGATAGGATAAAATATATTTCGTCAAAATTCTTCTTCACTTATGATTACCAAGAAAATGATTATATTAGTGTTAAACAAATTCGTTTAAGTGACAATCTAACAGATTTATTTACCAAAACCTTCCTATTGTAATATTTGAAAAGTTAATACAAAAGATTAAAATGTACCGCTTTAAAGATCTTAAATAATGCAGTCATCAAGGGATTTAAATACATATTGTGTTTTTTTTTCATTAAAGTTTTTTTCACTAAGTTTTCCTTGATAAGGGTTTTAATGAGATAATATTTCAAAAGTGTATTCTTGAAAAGAAATATTTACATTTTTTCTTTAGTCGGATTTTTTTCATGAGCTTGTTTTTCCTAATACAATTTTAACGAGACATATTTGGACATTTAAAGAAGAGCGTTATGAGTATATGTGTAAATGTTCATTAAATTATGACTCAAGAAGTTCAGATTAAGTCAAAACCAATAGACCAGATATAAAAAGTGTAATCTGATTTGAACCCTTATGTTGACTTAAATTAAGATTATGATTAAAGGGTTGTTAGTTTGCATATAGACTCCTTACTTCAATTGAAAATACACAATTCAATAATATTTGTTACTCTGTACAAAACGTGGTCGTTTGGTTTTTTAAAATTTTAAAATCGTCTACCCCGCGTTAATTCATAAATTCATAATTTTCTCACCCTTCTCTCCACTATAAAAGGGGCTCTCTTCACCGTCAAATCTTTACTGATCGCTGCTCCGATTCAGGTAATTCCTTTCTTTTTCTTTTCTAAATTTTAGGTTTTCAATCTCAAGACGAATCTTTTATTAGGGTTTTGATCGGAAAAGAAAAGAAACTTCTTTTCCCAAGAAAATTCTGATAATGATGAGTCTGCTATCTTGTCGTTTTGATCACCTTAACAAAGTCGAATTGTTCTGCTACGGGTTTTCTTTTTCGGAAACTAATTGCTTCATTTATTGATAGGTGAAGTAACAGAATTAGGGTGTTGTTTCTTTTTTTTTATCCTGAATAAATGGGGAAAAGAAAGTCAAGGGCAAAGCCACCGCCTAAGAAGAGAATGGACAAGCTTGATACTGTTTTCAGTTGCCCCTTTTGCAACCATGGAACCGGTGTCGAATGCCGCCTGTGAGTTTTCCTTTTCACTCTTTGTTGATTTTACTTATATGTTTTGAAGTAAAAACTGTATTTTACATATGATTTAACATGGATTTTTGTTACCGATTAACCTGGGTTTTGGTCCTATTAAAACCGTAAGTAATGGAATTGAAATCCTTATCGGTGTCATGAACCGATTTGGTGTTTTGATTTGTGGAATTGTGTACTTTCTTTATGGCATTTGTGAGGATGATAAGTATTAACTACCGAGTGAGGTTTAGTTTATGGGAATTATGCACCCTAGCATTTGGCTCAATGGTAGTGCATGTATCTTTTTTGGTTCTTTATGGAACTTAAGGGTTGTTTTGATTGCAGTGATACGAAGAACTTGATTGGTGAGGCTGTGTGTAGGATTTGTCAGGAGAGCTTCAGCACCACCATCACAGGTATGTTGATTTGCTGCTGTTTTGATTCTACAATGTACATTGTCATCAAATGCAAGGGAAAAGAAAGGTTATATCTTTGGATGTCTTTTGTAAAGTTTCTAATGTTGTTATGTATTAGTAACCTTTTGGGGTCTACACATGCAAGAAAATTTGTTCCACTCAAACTATTGAATAGATTATTGTTTCTGTGTTTATTAATTGTAATAGGAATATGCCTAGATGTCCAAGAAAATAGAATGAGCTGTTTCATGACAAATCACATAGGAAAATTGTAACCAAAAATTTAGAAGCACAAGGATCCATGATTTGTTGTTGGAATCATAAGTCATAAGATATAACTAGTTTAGAAGTTGTGGTTGTTAGTACCCAACCTAAAACCAATTGACCATAGGTGAGTGGCACTTGTTATATTTAAGTACCCAAGATATCTCAATTAACTTATTTGAGATTTCCTTTTCACCACTTTAATACCCCCTCATGTGTAGAGACAATGGACTTTATCACATGGCATGAACTTCATGTGTAGAAATAAAGGGCCTATCGCAGCAGGGACAACAGTGGGGTGTAGAGCCTGCTTTGATATCATGTTAAATTTATATGGACATCCCACCTAATACTAATTGTCAACAGGTGAAACAACCCGTGTTATATTTAAGTGTGGATTTGACTCCCTTAGTGTTAACAGAAGGGAATTAAATATTTTGGCATAATCATGGCTGGTAATAATGAAATTGGTTGTGGGATCTAGTCGTTTTTTGGAACATGGCAGAGGAGGCTAATGTGCCCTAATTATAACTAATTAATTTACCAAATTAAAATTACATAGAAGAAGGTAACAGTTTTGTTTTTCTTTGGCTGTGAATGGTTAACTTATTGATGATGTCTTATTTGGGGAAGATCAATTTTTGAGATTCAGTCAATGACTTTGGTTGTCAGGTAGGCTTTACATGCATGATGCATAATTTGTGATGTCTCATATCCAATCCTTGATTTTCATTTTTACCAGTGTCATGGTTTAAGTGGGTGCTGGAATATGAATTTGATGTTTCAAAGTTACAATTATGGCCCAAAGCTGATCTTGAGTTTTAGGATTGGGTCTCTATAGGGAATGGATCCTTTTATTCTTCCTTTGTTTGGTTGTTTGTTTACTTTGACTTCCATTGCTGTAATTTTGAGTGACTATTAAGATATTATCCAAGTTGATCTAATCTTCTTTTCCTATGGATTTTCAGCTTTAACTGAACCTATAGACATGTAAGTTACAACCCTTGTGAACTCTGTTGGATTTTGAGCATTATTGTTCAATTTGTTGTTATCTGACTTGGCCCTTTCAACTACAGATATAGTGAATGGATTGATGAATGTGAACGGGTCAACAACTATGAAGATGATGATGCTTAGAAAGCAATGGGATGCTTATGCTTTTGCTGCACTGTTGGAAGAAAGGGCCATGACATTAATGTTTAGTTTGACATCCTCACTTCAATGGAACAGGATTTTGTTTATGGGAATGGCTGTGCTTGCATTCTACTGTATCATATGCTGCATCTATAGTTTTTTGTGATGGACAATTAAAATTGTATGTATAATGCACTGTTTTCCTACTAACAATTCCACTCCTTAACAAATTTAATTGGAGATCAAGATGGAATCATTTTTTAATGTTTGATCTTTCTCCTATTCAATGGTTGATTTATCTAATGGAAGTAGATTTTCTCCTCCTTTGAATATTATCTTTGCAGTTATTTTTCCCCTTAAATATATTTGATTCTTTTTATTATTGGGTGATATTTGGGTACTACAACTTGAATAATACACCATTCAAGGCTGTTGCTTGCCTAGTGCCTTTTCTAAATTGTGAAACCATATGATTCCTTTGTTAAATCTTGGTCAATATCAAACATTTTGCTTAACTGGTTAGGGTTAGAATGAGATACAAGTAATTATGGCTTTATGGCATATTTGGTATGTTTACACTCTTCTGTCAAAATTTTAGGTATTTCTATGTCTCATTAACCATGAAATATAAAGATGGCATTGTTAAATAACCAGTGATTAGTTCAGGCCTCAAATCATACTCTGCTTTTCTCTTTGTTTCTTCTTCTTTGGATGCCCTGAGTGATACATTTTAGGTCAGACATCTAAATATCTTCACCCTTTTTATACAAAGGGAAGATTCCAAAATAGCCAATAGTTAGCATCATATCAGAAAATTTGCTAAATTTGGTACAAATATGAGAAGGAAATCTATAAATATAATGAAATTGTATATAAAAATAATGATTTTTTTTCTCAAAATAACAAAAAATCTTTTCTCAAAAGAAACCTATATCATGGTTCTTCAGGAAATAGGAAATAAGGAAGAAACAAACAAAAGAGGGTAAAAAAAGATTATGAAAAAGATAAGGAAAATTGTGGAATTTGTTTGTAATCCGGTGTTTGATGAGAGAGTCCTTAAAAAAATAAATCAAGGAGTTTCTATTTTTTGCTATTGAGGATTTAGGGTTATTAAGAATTACTATAATAAGTACTCACACATAAAAGAAAGAGAAAAAAAATGAAAATAAAAAGTTTTTTTTATAATTGTTAAAGAAAAAGAAAAAGAAATAGATAAATGATAATAGATTTGGAAATTTAAGATTAAATATTCAAATCCGAAAATAAATTATAATAGGCAAGTGCCGAGATCATATTAGATATATTAATGAGATTACATATTTAGTAAAAATTAAATTTATTTCGAACATTAGTTGAGATATAATAATTTACATAATTAAAAAAAAGAAATTATATTATTTTATTTATGTAGTCCTGCTTTAATCTTTTTCTTCTTTTACAAAATTTAGAGTATTTAGCCTAACATGAGATTTATTACCCGACGAAAGGATAATTATTAAAGGCACGGAAGTCACCTGATTTGGCGACAAATAGAGGGCCGAAACCACCCACAAACACAAGCCGCTCTCTCTCTTTCATTCCTTTTTTGGTTTCAAAATTGCTTCAACCAATTTCAAAACAAAATCTTGTCTCTCTCCCACTGTTCTCATACCTTATAAGCAAACCAAAAGAAGAAGACCCACACTTATTAAAACCCAAAACCCAGAACGGTAATCAAATTTATTTGTAAAACCTCTGTTCCCCATTTTAGTTTTCTTCTACTTTCCTCGTATTTTTATTTTTATTTTTTTAAGAAGACAGAAAGGAAGAAGCGCGCGCGAAAGGGAGAGATAGGAATTGATGGGTCGGCCTCCGAGTAATGGTGGCCCTGCCTTTCGTTTCACCCCAACTGAGGTACCTTTTTTTTTTAAAAAAAAAAGAACAAAAAAATAGAAATCCATGCATGTATTTTGAATATGGATGATGGATAGGAATGTTTTGAACTTCAGTTAAAAATGTGAAATGGGTCAGTTAGGTTGCTTGTTTCATTCAATTTATTTCTGGGTTTTTGATGTGAAGTTGTCTGCTTTTTGCAATCTTTGATTGCTTTGGTTAATTGGGTTTTGGTAGATTGTTTAATAGTTTGCTTAGATATTAGTATTATTCTTTGTTAATGGTATTAGTTATTGCTAGGAAAGATTCTTATGTTTTAAATGCTTAGGCTTATTCAAGGTTTTACCTTTGTTAGTTTTTTCTTTTTTTTTTTTTTATTTTAGAAAGGTGAGATTTCAAAATTTTCTCTCGAGTATGATACATGTTACTACCATCAGTATGGACTTGGGTGTTGAAATGCAATCGTACAAGCTCATGGATTGATATATCTCAAAATTTATATATATTATAATAAAAAATTAAAAATTATAAAACTGAAGGGTGCCACCACCTTGGCTCTGTCACTGAGTACCATTGAGCCAAATGCTGGGTGCTTAGCTTTGTTAATTTAATTTTAGTGTTTTTGGTAATGACAACAGTGCCATGCCGTGCTGTTAAATTGGAAACTGTAATGTGGGGTTAAACAAAAATCCCCATTAGGTAATATCCTGATGGTAATAATATCAAAAGTTGGAATTTTGGTAAAATTGAATTTTTCTGAGGCTTAAGGTGTATGCCTTCTCTTGCTTCATTACTCCTAGATATATGAATTATAAAGTGATGATAAATGGAATTTGGTATAACTGTATGTAGTGTGTTAGATTATAAGTAATGTTTTATCAGCTGCTTCTTCGATTGTAGCTCAAAGTAATAAGAAAATCATTTTTTGTGTAATGAAGTAGTGTTTAGGGTTTTTGTCTTTCGTGTTTTAATTCTCTAAACAATGCATTGAAAAATAATCTCTACATCAAGGTTGCGGAGATGGAAACGATTCTCCAAGAGCACCAAAATCAAATGCCAGTTCGGGAGATCCTTGTAAGTCTTGCGGAGAAGTTCAGGTGTGCAATAATTTCCCTTAAGAACATTATGTACCATGATGTATAATACTTTCCTCCTCATTAGCAACTGAACCTGTGAGGAATTTTTCTTTTGTTGTAGTGAGTCAGCTGATCGGAAAGGGAAGATTGTTGTGCAATTTAAGCAAGTAAGAACTTGATTTTGTTATTGGGAAATGAGGAAATGTTTACAGTTCTTTACTCTGGAAACTTTTATGTGCAGGTATGGAATTGGTTCCAAAATAGGCGCTATGCAATAAGGGCAAAATCAAGTAAGGTTCCTGGGAAGTTAAATATAACATCTATGCCTCGAGATGATGTAAATCCTGTGAGAACTGTGCCTCAGCCCATTGCTGCTCCCATGCCTCCCCCTATGACTGCTCCAATGCCTGTTGCTATGCCTGCTTCTACAGGTAAAATGGATTCTAATTCTGTGTTTAAATTCTTGATGCCACGTTTCTCTTTTAGTAAATTTTGGGTTACTACAGTCTGCTTAGTTATTGATGTGAGATATTGAAGAAGAGTGTAATGTGGCGCATTGTGCATGGATGTGTTCTTATGTTGCAAATGTCCATAGTATTGTGATGGTAGGACTTTAAAATGTAATGCATAGGATTACTTGTATATATTTGCCATCGTAAATGTTAGTTTAACAATTCATCAAACTTTTTATTACTAGGTAATTAAAATGACCATTAGGTTAATGTTGTAAGATAATTTAAGGGCAGGCACCTGCTTTCACACAAAACCTAGGCAGAGAGGATGCTGTGCGTTCTACTTTTGGCTGTGTTCTTTTTCTTCTCTAAAATTTAACTGAAATTAGTTACTGTATCTTTTTCCTCTCATTTCAGATATCATGAATAGTTATTAAAATGCATCATTTAGTTGATTATGAAAAGAAAAACTTGTCCTTTGCATGAATAAAATCAACAGAGTGACTTCTTCCAAAAGCATGATGTGTAATCTAAATTTTAGTAGATTATGTTGATTCTCCTGGGTGATGATCACAGACAAAGTAAGAAGCATCTCATGTGCATGAGAATATCACTTAAATGCACACTCAACAGGTGCAACATTAGATTTGACATCTATAGATGCATTATTTGCCACTGTTTGGAAATCACTTGCATTGTCTCATAGGAGAATGCACTGGTTTAGGAAAGTTTCATTTGGTTCTAAGGAGGTTAAAGGGAGGGAAACCTTAACAACCCCCTCATATAGCCTAAAAAATGATTAAGAAGCCTAATTAGTTAGTCTTTTGAAAGAAAATAGAGTTCTACTTCACTACAAGGGTTCTATGCCTCCTGATATTGAATATCTTTTATATCCGCTTCTTCATGTCATCTCACTTTAGATTAATAGCCCCATTTTCTGTGCCAGTTCCAGGTGCGGGAAGGCCTACGTCAGAACATTCTTATATGGAATTCGAAGCTAAATCTTCAAGGGATGGTGCATGGTAAGTTTGCCATTCAGTTGGAAAATATGGAGGCAGATGCTTTCCTTTGTCTTATCTACATTTTGTTACTCTGGCTAGACAAATCATTTGCAATCAACCTAATTTGCTTAATCTCCCTTTTTCAGGTATGATGTTTCAACGTTTTTGGCCCATAGATATTTGGACACAGGTGATCCGGTAATTTTTTAGTCCAATGTCACGGCATATGCTGATGCAAGTTTTTAGTGATTTACTGTTGCATATGTTACATAAATCACCAACTCTAATTATTCTCTTCTTATTTTTTACGTTAATCTGATCCCATCTTTTGATTTTTGAACTGAAATTGATAGTTTTGCAGTTTATAATCATTATGTCTTTCTGTTTTGCAGTCAAATGAAATGTTTTGATGGTTCTCTTCTATATAATTTTTTAATGGTCTATGCAGAACTCAAGAATACCACAATTTTCCATCTAAGAAGAAGAATTCCCAAATATTTTGCTGTCTCTTGCAGGAAGTACAGGTTCGGTTTGCTGGTTTTGGACCAGAGGAGGATGAGTGGGTTAACATTCGCAAGCATGTCAGGCAACGTTCGCTCCCATGTGAAGCATCTGAGTGTGTTGCAGTTCTTCCCGGGGACCTTATACTTTGTTTTCAGGTGGATTTCCACTTGCAATTGCCAAGCAATGATGGCATTCAAGCAATCCTTGGGACT